GGATGCACTGACGATCGTGTAGTGAGGGAGGAGCAGTCTGCTGATGACGTGCAGAAAGTGTTGTAGCGTGAATGGTGGTGAAGTTGTGCGGTCACACCACTCCTCCTCCATGTTGTCATGGCGGTGCTATTTTGGTGGGCTCTTCCGTTTTAGAGAAATAAATCCCCATCTAGACTCTTATCAGACAGGAATTTTTTATGATCCACCCAATTTATAATCTTGTTTTATTGCTTGTAAAGGGAAGTTCAAAAGTAAGGTTGCATTTTCTAGCTCATTTAAAAAAAAAAACAATCTTTTCGTACCTTGGCAATTTCACATCCTTCATGTGTTTTTTAAGCGTTCAGTTCTACTTGACTATTTCATTTGAATAGTTCCATAAGCCCCTAAAACGATGTCGAGCGCTCGTTTTACCCGCTGATTATTGTCTTCCTCCTTCCCTCATCATCTAGTCCGGAAGTCCCCACATGTTACTAGTTGCAGATGCGGAGGCATAGGAGAACAAACCACAACAGCACCACCTCTCCCACCAGAATACCTCTGCATCCATTGATTTTGATTCGAAATTCACGTGGGAAGAATTTCCTATCGGAGGGATTTTGACTCTTATCGCATAAAAATGCCGACAGAGGCGGCTTTGTGCTTTCGATGCGTGCATCGGTGTCCACAAAAAGGTGGTTTATCACAGCTAGTTCCTCCTCTAAACTACAATTTGTTCTCCATTCTTGTTTCGATAATTGCATCGAGTGAATGAGCACTGCCATTTCGAGTCACGAAGGCTCATTCGACCACAGTTACCACATAAACAGGTCCCCTTCTTGACTTGTTCATTTGCAGAAAGAGGAGATGTAGTTGGCCGTAAAACCGTGGTAACTGGATGTCACTTCTCCTCCAAACAGCACACATCGGCTTGCAACACACAATGTGCACGCATCATGCATACATGGGGTCTAACGGAAGCATTCAGTACCCCGTAACAGACTTAATGGCTTTAAAAAGTTGCTATGATAGGCAACTTTGCCTACTTTTTGCTCCTCTCTAATGTTTTGTGCAGGATTACGTGCAATTTGCCCCTTTAAAGGGTTAAATGTTGTGCCGCACGACTTCCATTGCCACGATCTCACGAAATTTAAAATTACTTTTACCCATTAAAATTGCATTTTCATCATTTGATTTATTAAGAACTTCTTTGTCTAGACATAGCCATCTCAAGGACTTTGCTTGAATGGCTTTAGAGAGGGAGATTAAGGAGGAGTGAGAGGGGAATCGTTTTGTCATCTAGACGTCCCCTACTACTGCCTAATGGGGGAGAACGGGGGTAAATGAGTGGGATAACTTAGTGAGAACTTAATTGAAATAGAAGGGCTAGGACTAGCACATGGCACTGTTCCCATCCGAAGCGACGCAGACACGAAGGAGAGAGAGAGAGAGAGAGGGGAAGGAAATCGAGAAGAACATATTTCCATTAATCCTGCAAGTCCGTAAATTTTGCTCTTTCGGTAGCAACAAAGAAGGCTATTTCTGCTTCACTTCGGCATCTAATTTTCATTCCGCCTGGCTTTTGCAAAATTTACACGATCCGAGGAGGAAAAGAGGAAGGGCTAAGACCAGCCTGGCAGGCAAGCATGTAGACAAACATTGTTTGGGCTTTGAAGTAAACTGCAAAAATAAAAGAAACACTTTAGCAGGAAAGCGGGGATCATTTGCCGATTTCTAGAAAATAAGTAGTGAATTGGCTTGCCTTCCTTCACTCCCCTGTCTTCTCCATCCCCTTCTTGTGCCTCACTTTCCTGCCTGAAAATAATCCCGTACCACTAACTCTTGCTGGTACACTCAAGTTAGGCGTTTACCTTGAAGAGATGAGCGAGTGTAACAGGAATAAGGTGTCATTTCAAATTCTCCTATCTTATCTTGCGAATGATTTCAACCATTAATCACGTACTTACACTTACAAGGAGATACATAACCACATCAATGGAATTTTCAGGATTTTCAGCTCTTTGATTGGTTGATTGGCTTCTGTATGATTCAGCAGTGGGAAGTGACGTCTCCTGACAGTCAAACATTTTGATGCCTCCCTCCCTGAATGTCACATTATCTGATGACAGACAAAAAAGACTCGGGTATTACATGTGACACTTAAGAGGGATGTAGATTCAAATCCTTCTCTCGCCTTTCTGAGTGGACGTTTGTTTTGGAGTGCGAAAATGGGATCGTGCGAGGCGCAACACCTTCCCGACTGAAGAGAGCTGAAAGAGCGTTCATGGCGCTTGGGACAAATTACAACATGAAAAGGGTTGTGAAGGGTTAATTAGCATCCATAAACTAATTTTACGAACCCGAAAGTTGCAATGTTATAGGTTATGCAAATTTGTTGCTAGCGGCATTTATTTTCACTTCTGCTTGGTTCTAAACGCCTGACCATGCCTTCTCACATTGCACGAGGAGCCTTCAAAGTAATCGGCCATCTTTGACTATTTATTAAGAGCTTTTTAATTTGGGATTACTCATGCTCCGTCAGTCTTGTTTGTCTACGATGTAAGTCGTTCAAGGAAGAAGCAGTACTACGGAGTACCAGTAATCCTTTCCTACCCGTTTCCGCCTCTTTTGCATAATTTTGCGCCAATTTGACCGAACCCTTTGTAGACTTGATCGGTGCAGCAGGACCGTTTGTTTTATTTGTTAAGACGAATCTCGTTTTTGTTGAAGACCTTATTTGAGTTCGAGGCAGTAAAATGTGATGAACTAGGAGGAAAACTTCAGTTTATGCGTGAATTTCTTGCAAACTTTAGAAGATATTCGATGAACGAACAAGAAGGGCCAATATCATCGTGATGTGCGCCTTTTTTGTGTTCACAAGCCTACCTTATCAGCTATTCTTCGTTATGGATTGGCATAAGCTTGTCAAAATTATGACTTTGCTTTGATTAATTTGGAGCTAAAACTCCCCTGAGTCGCGTAATTCACCCTTTAGGGAGGTAATCAGACAAACAATAGGTTTCTCTGCCTCCTTCTTTTCGAACTTCACAAAAGATTAATTAAGACTAGCTATCAAGTTCCAAATGGTTAGAATTTCCAAAAGAAGAAAAGTGCTCTTGACCACATGAATGACCACAACGGGGAAACGGACAGATGCCAACTTCTGTCAGACCTGCCAACTGACTAGGTTCAGCTTGGCGTATTGCGATTTAAGTGGTTCTCACTCATAGTAAAGTTTATCTCGTTGACTGACCTGGATGGTATCCAGTTGATTGTCTTTGTGTTCCTTTCCCTGAATCTGTAATGTCTCTAGGGGAAGTGTTGATTGGATTAGTTGGACTAAATAATTAATTATTTATGCATATTTCCTTTGAAAATTATAACTACAAAAAAGGGATGAATAAAGTAAGCATTGACAAGCAAAAAAAAGAAGACGCAGTAAAGAAGGCAACAACTAACCTTGTATAAGTAGGAGGACTATGAGTTGCCGCATCCTTCTACTTATTTCGATTTAAGCAACCAGCCACAGCGGTGAGTTTCAATGGCTTTTAAGCAGGTACGCTTTTGTACTCTTTAACCTCGTTAGTGAGAAAATGCTTTATGATGGAGACTGTAGAAAAACATTGTAACCCGAGTGGTCTCTTCCTTGGTCAAGATCGGAGTTCAATAAATTACACCTATTCTTAGCTCACTGAGTCAGTAATTTAGGCATTCTTTTCATTTAGAAAGTTTAGAAGAGCGGCTCCATAACCACTTCTTATTCGGTCCCCAGCTGAGCATGCGTGTGCAGACAAGAGGGATCCTGCGCTCACTGCACACACACACGCCTTTCCATTATAGCACTGCATGTGAGCGCAATTTCCTTTCTTCTTAGTCCCCAAAAAATGCATTCACTTCATGGGTAGAGCGCAAGCCGATGCTTCCCCTTGACAAATGGGTTAAGCCATCCGATATGTTTTCTTGAATTCCCTCAATCACACAAAATGCGATTCTTTACGTGCATACTGATCATTTCTTGAATACTCGCTGTAGAAACAGTGGTAAAATATGCTCGATGTTATCGTTGACAGGTGCCTAAAATTACCTACTTTCTTATCTTTAATAGGTCAGTTTCATGAGTCTGCCGGAGACACCAGCAGGTCACGACGCAGAAGTTCGTGAAGCTCAAGGTCACTGCGTGAATGGAGCAGAACCCCTACTTCGCAACCGCCCAGACTTTACTGAAGATCCACCTCTGCTGAATCAGTCGAAGGGTCTCAAACCGTCCTTCTGCAAAGCCAATGGTCAGTGGCACATTCTGAAAGGCAACATCTGCGAATGTCTACCAGGCTTTGAGGCCTCAATTGAGGAGAATCAGTGCACAAGTAAGCTGAAATTATTTCTTTTGCCCTCATTAAACAAGTAGAAGTTGGTTAAAAGCAGACACAACAATAGCAAAGGTGTGTTTCGTACAGGTACTGTTAATCCATGCTTTTTAAGAGTTCAAAAACCTTGCTCAAAGAGTTGACCATTGCATACTACTCATAAGTAGCAATTGTCAAAGTAAAATGCAAGTTAAAAGTTGCGAAACTCCCGAAATCGTACAAATTACCCAACCTCAACGAACTTTCCATTGATTTTTGTTAGAAACTCCGTTTTCGAATTTTCATGGTTGCTGTTTTTTTTTTTTACTTAAGTCTTAGTAAATCAGGTTGCTGGCGAGTTTCAGTACTATTTGTTCCATTTATAGAGAATCTTAGTACTTTGCCAAATTAAGTAGTATATACACTCACTTAAAGCATAATGCAATGCGTAATCCAGCCTCGCCTCTACCATTCAGTAAGGCGTCCTTCGTGGTGATGAACAGAGGAAACACTTATTCGCTGCATTAATGGCCCTTTAACGAGCTACCCGAAGGCGAAGTTAGTGTTTCCATATTCGCGTCAGCTTAGAGCGATGGGCAGGCGAAGGCGTTGGCTGGCAGGCTGGCGAACACCAAGTTGTGTGCCCAAAATAATGCAAAGATGGTTCCTACCACACTTGGCATTTCGAGCACCACCCACGGAGTTTCGGCTTGTTTATTTTTAGGTCCTCCATTAGGAGGGGTCAAAAATCACTACAGAACTGTGCATAAAGAAAGTATTGCAAAAGCACAGACTGCTTTTTCGGTGTTGGGCAGGAAGAAATTGGGCAGTCCCTAAGTGAAACAAAACATTTTGGAATGAAACCCCGTAGGCACGCATTTGGCGCTTTGGATGTAAGCGTTATTTGGGCATTAGTGGCGGAATCAAGACGGGAGTAGGAAAGCCTTCCAGACGAACACTTAAAGCTTAGTGTTCGACGTAGCCATCTCCATAGTTCGTTCAGATTTTATTACCGCAATTTGGTCCATTTCTTCCAAAAGGTGAACCTAACCCCATTTTAAGGTTTCATTAACAACTTTCCTGTATGAAGCAATTAGAATTGAAGCTTCATAGAGTGGAAGAGAGAACAGGAGGGACAAAGAAGAGGAGGTTGGACAGTCTATTATTAAAATTTGGAGCGAAAGTAATATAAAATTGAAGGCGCCCCGAAGGCGATGTATCCTCGAATGTCGCCTGCGTTGAGGTGGTGCGTTTATAAGCGATACATCCGCGAAGGAGGAGTGCTAAGGCGTGCCGAAGTTTGTCATGGCGCTGCACCCAAAGACCACACACCAACTGAACACAATAAGTTCTTGGAGGGTATCTTCTGATGCCTCCCTTCTTTTCCATGCGCTGTAAAACCTGACCATATGCTTTTAACAACTCTTCTTATTGACCGAATTATGGTGGAGGGCAACGCTTTTGCTGCAACGCTTGGTAGTTAAGTGGACGGCCAATAACCACTTCAAGCTTTAGAGGTGCAAATTTATTGTCCAGCCTGACAGCTTCACGTCTGCGCGTGCTGTGGACTGCAGTTTTCATTGATAACCAGCCATGTTTTGTCATGCGAATGCTAAACGCTGTTTGCAATGCGGTTGACTTGACCGAATTGGGGCTTCACAACTCCACGCCCCGTCGGATCTCCGGTGGCACTACTTTATGCACCATGCATTCATCCTTTGACCTCACCGACACTCGATAAACAATCCGTCGCATGCATGCAGGGCCGAAAAACGGAGGAATGCGGAGAAATACACGCGAAATTCCCCTCCTCCACCTTGCGATTTTTGCCGACAACCAAAGAATCCCTTTTTGGTTTGTATGCTAGGAAAACCGCTTCATCTTACAACGTTGATTTAAACAGTTGAATTTGCTTTCCTCTCTTTGATAAATGGGAGAGCATTTTTTTAAAAGGTCATTCATTGTTTTACCCTCCGAAGTCCTGGTTAAACTTGGATAAGTGTTTGAATCCCTTCTGCGCCTCCCTTTTTGCTCAAAGGAGGCACCGAATGATGCTGCAGCCTACAGGCCTCAACGCTTTGACGTGGTCGAAAAGGCTGAATGATTCGCATCTTCTATGGCTTCTCTTAGTTTGCAACTTCACTGTTCCAATCAGTCTCCACAAATCGTTGAAGGTAGGGGAAAGAAAGCTTTACTTGTCCAAGAGGTGCGGAAGCTGAAAATTACCCAGATGTTGTTGAATGGATCAGAATCGCCTTCAGCAAGAGGCGAATGCAACAGGTGTATTTACTACTGCTTTTGCCCATATTTTTTTTCTCTAACTTACTTATTTCTGACGGGAAAAATGGCATGTAACTTGTGTACTTCTGCAATCTAACAGGCATCCTGTCTATCTGTCAAGTCAGATTTGTCATTAAGGACCAATTGCTTGTCCTTACTTGTCTCCTATGGACAAAATGCGCCCTCGAAAACTTGGGCAGCACCTCTCACAGACCCTCCAAATGACCAAATTTTAGCATTAGATGACAGCTTGATGGTTGTCCAAAGCAGTGGCAGGCGGTCATCTCAACAACTGCCGGGAACGGAGCATGGTCGCAAGACTTCTTGCTCGCTCCTGTCTCCTCTCCATCTTTCATCCCTTTTGTTTGTGTGTGTGTGTGAGTGCGTGGGCTGTGAGGCGCCGTGATGGGAAGTGAATCACAAAACCTCGCTTTCCTGTTAGCAGCGCCTCCATTTGCATCCAATTTTCACTTCTTTATCGCTTTAGTATCAGATGCTGCAGTTTGACTTTACGATTTGGCTCGAGCAGTCCTTACACGTGACTCAAAGTGTAACCAACCACAGAGACACCCTTTCAGCTAACGCACATCCCCACTGTGGTGTCTTGGAACTTTTATAAGCTAAATAAAAGTCGCATTAAAGTAATCTACCAGATAGTACAGCTCGTGCCACAACTCCTCCACTCACTTTAGTATCGCACATTTAACCATTCTGAACTTCCTGTCATCGCGGAAATTTTTCATCAACTTTGGCTGTCTGATTAATCTGAACAGTTGTTACTGTGGGCACACAATGCCATAGGCCTATTGTAAGGCTGAAGCGATTTGCTTGTCTACTCGTAACGTCACAAATATGTGACACATGTTCCCCAGAGCCTTCCATTGGACGGTTACACCGAAGTCTAAAAATATGTGCTGGATATTACTGGTGCGGGGAGTCCACATGTTTCCTATTTTAGCTTCCACCTCCATAACTAAAGAAAATTGTTATACTGACAGAACAACCAAAACATGCTGCATCGAACACGACTGTCCCTTAGGCGCAGTCATTGAGAATGTTGGGCTACTGGCTCGTCCACAGTCAGCAAGAAAAAAGGAGTCGGAACTGATGGGTGCCAAAATTGAAGTGACTTTAAAAATCCACAATGTGTCAAAATTAAGGGGGTTAGTCGGTGGATAACCTCTACCTGGAGACAAGCGCATACATCTGCCTGCATGCACGTTCAAAAAGCGGGTTGGAATGTTATCGGAGGATTTCAAAGCTTATAGTTCACACCATAAATCCGTGACATTTAGCGGTTGACACAATGAGGTTTCCTAATTTTCTCTACTTTATGTGAAGGAGAAAATCTTGGGTCAAACTTTTGCTTCAAGGCGTATGTAAAATGCCAACCCATGCAAAAAGAACTTGTGAGCTTATGAAATGCCAAAAAAATCTAGAAGCGTTTAAAAAACCCTTTACTGCCTATTCATTTTACCCATAAAAGCAACTTTGGGCCTAAACCTAATTTTGTTTTTTGTGTTCAAGCGTAAGAGAAACAAATTGCCTTACCTTTTGCTTAAACCAAATTTTTCACATTTGTATGCACGGTCAGTTCACTTAACTATGCAACTAATGCCCGACAAACATACTACTTACTAAATAATGGAAGTAGCATCTGCCTGTGGAATGAGTCACTGTGCCTATTAAACGCCAAATAAGTACACTGTTATTTCCTCTCAATTCGTCTTGTTTTTTACTCTGCCAGGTTGTCCCCTGGGCACCTACAAGGCGCTGTCAGGGCCGGGCTTTTGTCGACCCTGTCCTCCGAATTCCATTTCCGAGGCCTCCATAGGGAGCAAAAGGTGTGTCTGCAGCCACCCCCTCTTCGTTTGGCACGTCCTTCCCGACGGTGGAAGTGGTGTCTGCTCGCGTAAGTTTAGCTTATCAATCAGTCTCCTATTTTTAGCCTTAATCGATAGCTATTCACTGCTACATGCTAAAATCAATAATTTATTGATTTTGCAAACGAATGTGTCTAGTCTTAGCCATTGTTTTAACTTTTAAATTCTGTAAAATTATCTTTTTATTTCAACATGGCAAGAGGAAGTCAAAAAGGAGAAGCGTGTGTAAATAGGCAAAAATTGACTACTTTAAATCTTTAGCTTTTAAAGGATTACAAATACTTTTTTAACATAACTGTGTTTTTAAGCCAAATTTATATTTGAGGACCTATAGAACTGGCCTGAGCAGCTGGTTGTGCATTTTGCCATTCTAAGCCCTTAACTCGCGGTGTGGATATGCTTCTAGGTCATTTGTTTGTAGAAATTCGAGTAGATCGGTCAAAGAGTCCTTAAAACGGACTTTTTTAAAGTGCTTAGCACGTGAGTGGGACACTTCCTTCAAAATAATATTAGTAAAATTTACTTGATTGTGATTACGAATTTACAGACATTGAGTCATCGAGATGAAATTTGAGAGACTAAGCTGCCTGTTCTGAGACCTAATGGTGATTTATGCATCATTACTACTTTCATGCCTATCATCCGAAATGGGCGTTGTGCCGATGGTTAATGTTTTGCCTAAAGTGTGTGGCCAGACAATCATTTTATGCATCAGACATTCAGGAATGGGTGTGATAGTGTCCCCTTCAAACACCATACATCGAGTGAAAAAAATAGACCGTAAAAGCTTACCCGCTCTTATTTTACGCCTTTTCCATGAGCTGTTAAAAGGGTAATTGGCATTAGCCAAATGATTATGTAAACTGGCATATCGTTGATCACCATCAAGTAATCCACTTACTCCCTCTAGCCCTCTCCAAGGGCGAGGGTTAATTAGCCCTCCTTCCTTTCATGAGGTGTGTGTTCAATCACAGACGATATCAACTTGTTCCAACTCAGACATACAGGAAAAGCGTTGGCAGGTAGTACAATTAGAGTTGGAATTAGACTTATCAGACAATACCACAGCCTTGTACCAAGGAAGTGATTAGATTTTGCGCTGCACTTAAGAGTGAAGGAGGACACTCCCTGCTCCTCGACTTCTTTCTCACCTGTCACATCTATCCCACACGCTATTATTAGACCGTCAAATCTCACCGTCAGGAGACTATGATGCACATCATTTGGAGAAATGTCATCCAAATTAGTGAATGAAGTGGAGGGAACTCTTTTTCGGACTTAATAAAGCGGGTACCACAGTCCCATTTTTGATAGTTTTCTTGATTTTTAAGGCAAGTCGGAGACAGTTCTGGTCGAAGACTTTCTATATGGTAATCTCATTTTAGGCAAGCGAAACGTCCAAGTCTAAACATTGTAAGGCCATTCACAAAAGATGTGGAGAAGTTCTTAAACGTAAAGAGACTCGTGAATTTTTAGGAGGTGGGAGAAGGCCACGGAAGTAGTCGTGACCAAATTTTTCATACCTTCAATGCAGCTTCAAATCGTAGGCATGAAGAGGCTTTCTTCGTCCTTCCACTTGAATGTGAAGATCAGCGGAAGTGGTTATCCTGCGAGAGGGGAACGAGTGGGGCTCTCCATCGTCCTCTCCCTCTCGCATTGAAAGAGGTGTTAATAGGGGATTGAATAGGGTGTTAGTGAATGTGGACACCGGTTTGACGGATGCGAAGGCTTTGTCGCGTATGTGGGGACCACTACAATTAAGGGGAGAAGAGAGAGAGGAAGAGTGAGGTCACAAGGTCACACGACTTTGACGCCTTCAAAACCTGAATCGCGGTGACATGACGGATGTTTTAAAGGATGAACAACAAACCAATAATATGGCAAAAAAGGCAGGTCGCAAGCCGCTAGCAAAAAAAAAAACTTGTCTCACGTCAAATTATTATTAAGTTAAAAATTTTGCTTTAAGTGGCTGCTTTGTGGGACTGGCCATCGCCAAACCAGCTGTCACATTTTATAGAGGGCGATGCATCACGCACACACACACATGTGACGCCTTAGTGATAACCAGTTAGCAATCGAAAGGAGGTGTAACCAAATTCCGAATCTTCAAAGAAATGTCAATTGCGTCAAATCATTGGCAAAAGAGAAAAATGAGTATGCAGCTTCTCCACTTCCCCCAACGTTATGCCCCACTACCTTCCTCCCCCTTACCGCTATGAAGGCTGCCAAAAGTGCCAACTGTTAGGCCCTTTTGAGGAGGTTCCTTAAATTAGTGCTCTTAAGTTGTATGAAGTTGGTTTTCAGAGAACTTGTAGACCGCCTCAGGCGGGATGATGTGCCTTTGACAGCAGTTAATCAAGGCAGAAGTTGACAATCCGTTCCAGTGCAGCAATAATGAATAAAGGTGCAAGGAATGGGCCAAAGTGCCAAACAAATAAGGCAGCAAGTGGGTGGTTAAAAGCCTTCACAGCATTACAGACATTTTCTCTCACCTGCATTACTTATGGCGAAAAAAATGCTCGGGTAGGAGGAGTGAATGGCCTGCTCATGTCCGCCACCACCGTCGACTGGGCGGGAGGCGAAACGACACCTCCGCCGTTGAGAATGTGTGGGCGCAGAGGCCTGCAAAGGTTTCCAATTTACTTGCACGCTCCTAACTAAAAGCTTCCGTTCTTGACCCTCCTCTCTTTCCCATTATTAACACAGCACAAATGAAGCAGAGAGAATTTGACTTTTCGACTCGCTTTAAGAAGGCTTTTACTTAACTTTGTAAATTTTGGCTAGCAAAGGAGGAACAACGTTGCAGGTGCCCAGTTTTACAGTCGGACAAGCGTGTAAAGAGGACCCACGAACTTATGAAGTTCTGTGATACGTTTTCAGGTTCAGGAGAAAGTTAACTAATAAAAAATGGGTTAATTGACCTTCACTTGTCCAGATTTGAGCCACAAAACTCAGTTTCGTCTGCAAATACGAATGGTTGACAAGTCTGGACGTTAGTAGCTGCATCGCCTCCTCTCGGCGTTTAGCACATCGCCACTACAAGAAGTGGGACAATTTATCGTTGAAGTTGTTTTGAGCGAAAAAGTCCATCGCCTCCATTCTCATCATTCCACACACTTCATATTACGATTTTGGTTTGTTCCCGCACTTCTGCTGTTAAATAAAAAAAACAGAGACACGAAAAAAGTTGGCTTTGCCTACCACAAGAACCTTTAGGTGGGAGAGGTTGCATTCACAGCTTCCCAAGGAACAGAGTGGAACAATTTTGATGAAGTTGAGACAAAGAAATTATCACTCATCCCGAGGTTTAAAGGCCACAGTGAGTTTATGGAAACTTTGAATGCTCCACGAGGGTTCAACTCTCGACATTTGCAAGGTGGAAGGAGGCAACACAACAAACGTTTTCGTTATTATTATTTTTTTTTCACTTGATTGCGACCACTTGATAAAGGAGGATTGGAAGAAACCCCCAAATATGCTTGAAGTCGAAGTTTTATAACTCGAAGGCTTCCATCGTCTTCACTCCAATCCCGACTTCGTTTGGTCCTACAAAAATACCCCTTAAAATGACTAACTGAAAAGAGTTTCAAACTTTGACTATTTCCCAAAGGGTTTCCTCACATTTTTTTGAGACTCGGTGTTGCAGGATTGCCAACTTAAAAGTATAAACCAGAAACATTTTTTTAAAAAATTAGTGGACGGTGAAGGCTAGATCGTCAGATAGATGGGCAGATAAATTAATAGAAAGTGAGACCATAAAAAGTAGCTGTTTGATCACTAGTGGACCAAGAGCAATCACTCTAAAAGAGCAAATAAACGCCCTGGTATTGCAACGCCATGACAACATGGAGGAGGAGTGGTGTGACCGCACAACTTCACCACCATTCACGCTATAACACTTTCTGCACGTCATCAGCAGACTGCTCCTCCCTCACTACACGATCGTCAGTGCATCCGCAAGAGGTGAGAGAAGGTCACGGCAGTAGCGGTGACCAAAGTATTCACACCTTCAACGCAGCTGCAAATCGCAGGCATGAGGAGGCCTCCTTCGTCCTCCCTGCAGAGGAGGAGGAGGAGGAGGAGGAGGAGGCACAGTTCGAGCAACTGCATCACAACCGCTTGAATGTGGTGCATCAGTGAAAGCGGTTGTGCTGTGAGAGGGGAATGCGTGTGCCTCTCCCTCTCCCACTGGAAGAGGTGTTGGTAGTGGGGTGAAGAAGGTGATGAGAACGTGGGGACCGGTTTGACAGATGTGTGAGTCACCACAATTGAGGCGGAGGGAAGGGAAGGGAAGGGAAGGAAGGGAGAGGTCACAAGGTCACGCGACTGACGTTGACCACACCACAATGCGAGTTGTAAAAGCAAAGTTAGTGTGCAAGCGGCACCGCATGGTTGGATGATGTACTTCCAGGGCGTCGATGCACC